TGCGTCGTTCGTCAGCTGTTGCAAATAAATAAAATTATTTGCATTATTTTTCCTTTGTAATCAAACACGGGCAAGAAATATCATTTTTCATACAATTATTGATATGAAATATTAGGGGTATTCTCTGAGTCTTGCAAAGGCCTTGCATGGTGCACATATTGCACGGATTGCACGGTAAAAACCGGTTTTCGTATGGGACAGCTTTACAAACCGTGCAATCCGTGCACCGTGCAAGGGCTTTGCAAGACTCAGAGAATACCCCTATTAATTTATCTGTCGTTATTATGTTAATTTAGTGGGCAAAACATTCGCCGCCAAGCGTTTATTGTAGCAAGCTTACTTTTAACGCGCGTTCTGTCAAACCAATGCCAGTTCTATGTAGATGGGCCTTAAACATGAGCGATGAAGCGGATGATGCGGTTGCGTGTTTGGTTATTTATGCATAAAAAACAAAAGAAAAAAGCATACAACGAAGAAAGGGTACAACCCTACGAGAATTGTCCCTGCAAGACATGGTTTTCCCTCAAATTCAACAGATTTACACACACCTACGAAACTGTTTAGCTATCACACGCACACATTTATAAATTTTTTATTCGAATTGTGAAAAATTTTCCATTTGTTAGACTTTTATAGGAATTCTTTGCGATAAAGCGAGTAAGAAATATGGTAGTTTTTATGAAAGCAGGATGAAAAATGTCACATTTGATAAAAATTTGAAATTATAAATAGTTTTTTTAATTTTGTAAATACATATTTCAAATTTCATTTTGTTCCCGTTGCCTTTGCATTATTTTTAAGGTATGTACATACATATGTAAATTGCTTATTTATTTGTGCATTTTAACTGATTTTCTCGTTATTACAGATTTGCAACAAATAAAATCAAACATTGCCATCACCACCATAATCTTTAACGCCATCACCGCAATCATCATCAATCAACACATCCTCCACAACCATTAATGCCGCCACCAACATCGTACCATCACCTTCAACACCGGCCCCATCAACATTCCACGCCTCCACCAGCAAAATCGCCACCATCACCTTCAACATCGCCACTATCTCTTTAAGGCCGCCAACAACATCACCTTCAACGCCGGCCCCAGCAATGTAATACATATCCATATGTATGTAGAACGTGTGTTATTTGTTTGTACATACATATAAGAGTTTTGTATTAATAAAAGTTTTTTAAATGTAAAAATTTTGATTTTCTACTTATTTGGTTTTTCCTGTACTGAGGAGTTTATAACGACAAAAACTAGTAGTTTGATTATTAGTGCTGAGGAGTTCATAACGACAAAAATGAGTAGTTGTTTATTAGCACTGAGGACTTGCTAATGACAACAATGAGTTGTTTGATTATTAGTGCTGAGGAGTTTATAACGACAAAAATGAGTACTTTATTTATTAGCACTGATGTGTTTATTATAAAAACAAAAATAAGCAGTGTAGTAGTTTTTAGAGCAGAGCAGATATATTTTTCGTTCATCAAAGTTTGCTATTAGTAAGAAGAGATAAAAAAGACTACAACGACATGGGGAAAGTGCTCAGATCTTTCCCATCGCCTGAACAAAAATTAGTACTTTAATAAACACTTTAGTAATTAGTGATAATGATAAAATGAGGACTCATTTGATGCTCATCTGTCTTGGGGGTGTGATGGAAACTAACACATTCACATTTATCTTACCAAACACTTGCAAATTATGCGTTGGTTAAAAAGAGACCATTAAATAAGGCCATAAGTTGGAGGAAGGCGGAAGGTCACATGCATACAAATGTTTACATCACGTTTTTCATATTGCTCTTAAAAAGTTGATAGAAGTACTTGATTGAGATCTCCATCACCAGTAAGTATCACATGATCAATCAAATGACTATCAGTGTTCTCGTAGGGAAGTGAATGGCTTTAAATAGAAAAAAAAAAAACAATATTATTATTCTGTAGATCAGTGGTGTCCAACCGAGTTCGCACCGAGGGCTACTTTAAAACTATTGCTTTGCTTTGCGGGCACCGCCTTAATAAACTTCAATCACAATTGATTCCTATGAAACCCTTTATTTATTAATAAAATTTATACAGCTAGCTAAAATAAAGGAATGCACATAGATAACGAGCATTCGTTGTATTGTGAAGACAACAATTTCCTCTTAATTGATAAAGCAGTGTTTCCATTATGATCCATAAATCGATTTTTTGGAAAAAGNCTAGTAGTTTGATTATTAGTGCTGAGGAGTTCATAACGACAAAAATGAGTAGTTGTTTATTAGCACTGAGGACTTGCTAATGACAACAATGAGTTGTTTGATTATTAGTGCTGAGGAGTTTATAACGACAAAAATGAGTACTTTATTTATTAGCACTGATGTGTTTATTATAAAAACAAAAATAAGCAGTGTAGTAGTTTTTAGAGCAGAGCAGATATATTTTTCGTTCATCAAAGTTTGCTATTAGTAAGAAGAGATAAAAAAGACTACAACGACATGGGGAAAGTGCTCAGATCTTTCCCATCGCCTGAACAAAAATTAGTACTTTAATAAACACTTTAGTAATTAGTGATAATGATAAAATGAGGACTCATTTGATGCTCATCTGTCTTGGGGGTGTGATGGAAACTAACACATTCACATTTATCTTACCAAACACTTGCAAATTATGCGTTGGTTAAAAAGAGACCATTAAATAAGGCCATAAGTTGGAGGAAGGCGGAAGGTCACATGCATACAAATGTTTACATCACGTTTTTCATATTGCTCTTAAAAAGTTGATAGAAGTACTTGATTGAGATCTCCATCACCAGTAAGTATCACATGATCAATCAAATGACTATCAGTGTTCTCGTAGGGAAGTGAATGGCTTTAAATAGAAAAAAAAAAAACAATATTATTATTCTGTAGATCAGTGGTGTCCAACCGAGTTCGCACCGAGGGCTACTTTAAAACTATTGCTTTGCTTTGCGGGCACCGCCTTAATAAACTTCAATCACAATTGATTCCTATGAAACCCTTTATTTATTAATAAAATTTATACAGCTAGCTAAAATAAAGGAATGCACATAGATAACGAGCATTCGTTGTATTGTGAAGACAACAATTTCCTCTTAATTGATAAAGCAGTGTTTCCATTATGATCCATAAATCGATTTTTTGGAAAAAGAAAATACTGGTTCCATAGAGAACATTTCGTCACCTAAAATGCAAAAATCTGTAACTAACATTGTTAACTGAAATGCAAAATTCATTCATTCATTTCATCATTGATTCATTATGATGCATTTCATCGAATTAAAATTCCCCACATCGTTTGACGCAAAAACCACCTATTAGTTACGGATCTTTGCATTTGTATTCCTGCACCGTTTTTCGTATTTTGATAGTAACTGAAAAACTTTTTCCACGTAATGCAATGGATTGTACCCCGCCAGAATTTTCGAGTTCAAAAGAAGAGCAAACGACGGGAAAAGCTGACAGTTTTTCTCTGCCAACAGCCCCTTTCAAATGCTGATTTCCCCCACAAACGCTGAGGTTGCAGTCATAATTTCTGAAAACCATAATTGAGGATATTTAGTTTTTTCAATTAATAATAATAGATTGGCGCTTAGTGTTTGGCCGAGCTTCTCCTCAGGTTTGTGGCGTGCGACTTGAATTTTTCACACAAAGGTGAGGGACCTACAGTTTTACGCCGACGACGTTTGTATTTTTATGAGAAGCTGTGTTTCAATTATATAATTTAAAAATGCCAAGTCGGAGAGCCTTATCTACATGGTCATTGGAAATTTCTTCATTAATATCTTTGGAAATCTTTTTTTATCTTATCTTATTTACAGTTGGCTATTATATTTTTGATTTGCAGCTTTATCATGTCCAATTGACGCTTTTCAATTCACTTTCGCATTTAAAATTGACGATTCTCATTTTCAATTGACACTTTCGCAATTACAACAGGAAATGGCGTAGTTCGGTACAGAGAATTCTTCTGTCCATCTTTTTGTTTGGGGCACCTAAAATACAGGTCGCGAGCTACTAGGCGCCCGCGAACTACCGGTTGGACAGCACTGCTGTAGATGAAAAGAGAGGAGCAGGAGCACTGTTTCTCCTCCGTTTGCCCATTGTTAGGTAGAATTTATTTCTCAGCTTTATGCATACAAAGCATCTGGATATGAAGAGGAGCGAAAACAAGTACACTTGGGTTTCTTTTTTTTCGGATTTTTTTTTAATGTGGATTTGAATTTATGCGGTTTTCAAACCATTATTTCGCAGTAGCGATTTTGCTTTTTTGAGTTTTTATTACTTTTTTCAGTGTGTAAAAGACAATGCTTCTGGTAAATAATTTGTTTTTGTATTCTTACATAATAATAACAATAATAGATTGGCGCTTACACATAAGTGGAGCTTCTCCTCCAATTTGTGGTGTGCGCCTTGATGTTGTCACACAAAGGGGAGGGACCTACAGTTTTACGCCGACTCCGAACGGCGATTGTATTTTGTTGCATCTCTCTCTTTCTATCAACAGCAAACTTGATATGTTTCTACGATACGCTACTATAAATATGTATGTATATGCATATTTCTGTTGTTGTTACATGTGTATGTATAGACATAAGAACATATGTATGTACAAATGTAAAAACATCATACATATCTCTCGCTGGTTATAATAGGTTCTTTTCCTAACAATCCGGACCGGATCCGGTAATTAGAGAATAAGCGAAAAGTTTGCTCTCAAAAATGGAACCTAATCCAGAAGTACGGGAACGCAAAAAACCACATTTCGTGCCCAGAATTTGAGAAATAGTTGATTCGCGTTGTTTTTGTTTTTGTCACTTAAATGCAAACACTTGGAAATTTAATTTCTGTTTCACAAACTTGATTTTAAGAATATAAAGATTGAAAATACATCCACTATTCCTTAAAAGCACTAAGTAAATGCAGGCAACCTGTAAACACAAAACAGCTGATATGCACTTTGACGCTTTATCCATTCTACTACAACTGTGGTATTAAAACTGTTTGTATATGCAGAGTTGCGAATCATTGTAACCAAATACATTGCATATTTCGAATATTTAATATAACAATGATCACCCTATTTTCCATTTTTAAAACCACAATAGTAACCAAGAACAAGCGAAGCATCAACTTTGTTTCTGATGCGCTGATTACTCTAGCGATGAGTTTGGATAACTTTTCGGATGCGTTTTGGGAAAGTATACATTGTCAAAATTTTTGTAGTTCGGCATTATGGAACATTATATATAACAAACGGGAGACATAAAATCAACAGATCCTTACGATTTGTGCTTTATAACTCATGCAATATACTCTTGTACACATGTATGTCTGTGTGTACATACTTATTATTCACTGCTGATGTACCCAAACCAGTTTTTCAGATTTTCCAAATTATTAGATGATTATTTTTTAGTCTTATATGTATACATACATATGTACATATATGCATATTTCTATTGTTTTTGTCAACAAAACTTAAGCAAAAGAAAATCCACTGAAAATAGTTAGGCAGCTACAAACATTGGCGCGTATTCATAGTCCAGCAACTAAGTCGAAACTAACAAAGTTGCAACTTAAATTTAAGTACCAACTTAAAATTTACCTCTATTCATAGTAGCATTTCAGATTTCTACTAAGTAGTTTCGACTTAGTTTACGATATAGCAAAACGAGTGTGAAAATGTATCGATTTTTCTTTACGATATTTTGGAAAAATTACATTTTTATTAAATAATATCAAGTTTGATCATCCGTTTATGTAATTTTTATTTTCATTGCATGATTATGCAAAAGAATAAGGTATCATTTTCTTGTTAATTGTGTGAAATAGCCAGAACAACCGCAGTGATGTGAAGTCGATGTTTATCGAAAGCATGCTGTGAAACATACAAATAGTAGATATCTAAATGTTATGCACAAATTTACTTTAAAAGAACTACCGTGAAACTGACTTATTATTTGAGAATTTATATAAATTATTCCAATTATAAAATTGTGATGTAGCTTTATTCGAATTGTAATACGCATTTAATTTCATCTTCCGATTAAAATGGATCGATCTTTGTAAATTTTAATTGGAGATTATTCAATATTATCAAAATCACCCTCTACCAACTTAATTTTTACATATTTCGTCTGTTTTCCCTTAATTTGATAAAATACTTCTTCCTAGTTACGACTTAGTTGCAGCTGCAGCCGAAACTAAATTTTAAGTTGGTACTTAGCCAGAAAAGTCGAAACTAAGGCGACTATGAATAGCTTTAGTTGTGACTTAGAATAGTTTCGACTTAGTTGAGTACTAAATATGACTATGAATATGCGCCATTGCCTTTCAAGGTCGCAAACGTAGCACAAGTAGAAACTCCGGGAGCAAGAGCAGAGCAATAGCAGGCAGAGCGGTAGCACATCAATAGCAATAGTGAAAATGTTTTGCTGCTATGCTCCGTCTTACTTCAGTTGTTTCTGTTACTGCTCCGGCTACAAATAGCAATTCGTTCGTTTTCTTCGTTTTGCTACCTCTTTCGTAGTGCAACGCGACTTAGCACGAATAAAACAAGAAAGATGATACTCATGGTTGCCACTCGCCAACATTTTTTTTACCAAAATGAGCACTTAATAAATTCAATATTTTTATGATTTGTCAATTTTTGAGAATTTATCAAGTATCAAGTTATAGCACAGAAGTTTAAATCTATTTTCTTGATAAATTTTCAAGATTGAAAATGCTATTGACAATTATAATAATTTTTTTATCAGAAAATATTTTTGTATCAATTAATTACTGCATGTGCCGTTATTCTCATTTTCGTTGTTGGTGTTTCCGACAGGGTTGGAATATGATGTATTGTGGAACGATTTTCCATCATCCCTTGTCAAATTTGGTTTGGAGGCAAACCGGTTTCGGCGTTGTGCCATTTTCAGTGTAATTTTTCGTTCGGAATGTGCCGATACTTGGACCTGCGACTTACGGAACAATAGCACCGGCACAAAAAAAAAAGTGGCGGGTGCTTTTAACCATGGTTGCCACTCGCCAACATTTTTTTCTACCAAAATCGCTTAAGAAAAGTTACCATATCTTCACTACCAAAATCTTCACTTCTTCACTGAGAAAAAAATATACTGAATAAAACTGCTATATTTCATAACAAATGTGTATATACTTAAAGCCCGTTTCTGTGACTTAATACATTCAATATTTTTATAATTTGTCAATTTTTGATTATTTATCAAGAACTCCCAGTTCTAGTACAGAAGTTTAAATCTATTTTCTTGATAAATTATCAAGATTGAAAATGCTATTGACAATTATAATAATTTTTTTATTAGAAAATATTTTTCTTACAATTGATTGTTGCATGTGCCGTTATTCTCATTTTCGTTGTTGGTGTTTCCGACAGGGTAGGAGTATGATGTAATGTGGAACGACTTTCTATCATCCCTTGTCAAATTTGGTTTGGAATGTGTCGATATTTGCGACTCACGGAATAATGGCACCGGCACACAAAAAAAGTTGCGAGTGCTTTTAACCGTCCGTTTGACTCGTAAAAAAATTTTTTTCTATTTTTTCGCTTTTTCATAATTTAGTGTACGTGTCAAACGGACCTCAGATTCAGTGGGTCGAAATACATGTCGGTAGGTGGGTCTAGTAAAAAGCACGCGACATTTTTTTTTGTGCCGGGGTAATCAAAACGATTTATGGACCTTACCGAAAATTGCCAGATGGCCAGTATTAAAGTGTGAGATGGTAGAATTCAAAATTTATCGCAAAAATTCGAAAGTTGTTTTAGAAGTGCAGCCCTTGATGCTGCCACTGTAATTCAAATATTTCCAGTATTCGAATATGAGATGACTCTAATTTTATCGAAGTAATTTTGTAGAAGTGTCAGTAGTACTGCCACTGAAACTCGAAGGTCTTTTATAATTATGCACATGCAAAACATAATTCATTTCTTTCTAGTAATGCAAATAGATATTTAGTTGCAAAAGCTACCAAAATGAAATAAAAGTTACCAAGTTACCAAACCGTTTAAAAGTTACCACTTTTGGTAGAAAGTTACCAATTGTGGCAACCATGATGCTACTACGTTTTGTGTTTCTGGCTTTGCTACTCATCTATTCACGTTGAGGGCAGTAGATAGGGATGAAACGATACCATGAAGGTATCGATACTTTTACTTGGAAGTAGTATCGTAAGATAGTATCGATACCCGAAAAATATCGGATCTAAAGTATCGATACCTACTCGTATCGGTACTTTTGGCTATGAAGGTATTCCGTATAAACTGGATTCAATTTAATTTTTTTTAAGTAATAAATTAATCATCCTCGGCGAATTCTGAGCTCCGAACAATAAAAATTTGTAATGTAGGAACTGAAAATAAATAAAACAACATAGCATAGCGAAACTATAGTATTTAGCAGAGATAATACCTTTAAAAAATTTAGAAGAAGTTAATGTCGTTTAACCTTAGACCCGTGAGTTGAGCACTCAGTGTCCATATTCATGTTTGATGTTGAAATTCATGGGAAGTTCAATTTGATTTTTCATCATAGGCAGATATGTCGTACCTTGGGTTATAAGTTGACAAAATATCTCTTATAGTAAAAAAGTAACGGTTTTATATGGTGAGTTCTTAGAAAGCTTAAATTTCCATACAACAGTATAGTTTTTTCTAAGATAACTATTTTTTTGTCATCCACGTTTTGTAGCCTTTTCTTCTTTGCTTCTAGTTTTCATTAACATTTTCAGCGCGGAGAATAATAGCATTACTCTGTACGTTGGGCCGTGTATACGCTGCACAGTGTTCTATTTTTGAAAAAAGGGGACACAATAACACGAGAAGAGATAATGAAATAACTAATATAATGACATTCAATAATATATGATTTAATTTTTTCCCCTTTTTTGCCATGAAACCAGTATGCAATGAAGTTTTTAAAAAGTTTTAAATTGTATTTAAAAAACCAACAATTTTACTTGTGAAAGTCATTTTAAAGGTATGATTAAATGAAAAATTACCCCGACGTCAAGACCGACCTTCAAATGAAAAATCTTTGGATTGTTATTCTTTTGACTTAAGAACAGCGTGCAATAAACTTAAAAACAAATTAAATGGAGTTTTTTGTTTTTTTTTTACGACCAAGGAATGGATTCCCTGATTCAAGAACACCAAAAATATTAGTTAAAAAATTTAATTGCTTTCAGGAAAAAATTAACATCTTAAATATTTGAAAATCGCTGGCGTTTAAAAAGCCATCATGCAATGGGTGATTTATATTATGGAGGAAAAAATTCCGAAAGAAAATCGCCTTGGTATCGGGTTTCGATACGAGTATTTTTTTCGACACCTACTCAGTACATGGTTCAAAAGTATCGATGCCAAAAATACTTGGTATCGAACGAAAAGTATCGAGAATGTACTTGTATTTACTCGTATCGTTTCATCCCTAGCACTAGAAGTAGCAGAGCAAAGTTTCCGTAGCTACTAAAGTCCAGCGCAAGTGTATTTTCCGCATTTCGTTCAATAAGTACTCTTTGCATTGTACTCTACTCCTAACACATTGTTACTCTTTTGCCGCATACATACACTACTTGGCGTTGAGAGAGTAAATACTTGACGTACTTGTTATTACTCCACCAAAGTAGGTACTCTGCTTTCTCTCATCGCGTACGAGATATTTGCTGCTGCCAAAAGGGAGTAGCAAATCTACTCTCTGTATACTTGTAGTACTGTAAGTACTTGCGAATTAAATTCAATTCTGGTTGTTAGCCTACTAGTTGATATCGTTTGCGGCGCTGGTCAGTGAAATTGAAAGAGTAAAAATAGAATATGGAAAGTGACGATGTAAGGAAATGTTTACGGCCTTATTTATAAAAAATAACGTAGATTTAGACAGTTGTTTAATGTGACATTTTCATAAAACTTTTGTATTCAAGCAGCTTTTTAAATCTATGTATGTACTTATATTTTTATGAAAGTATTATTTCTCGTTTCTAATTTTCTATAAAACTATTTGCAGTCATTAACCAACAAATAAGTTGTCAAAAATCAAAATTTTGAAAAGTGCCGATTTTCACATTCGATAGTTGGACATGGTAGCGACGAGATGTACGAGCATTTTTTCCATTAAGAGCTGCATACTGATTTAAGAAATTTTTTAGAGTAGCAAATTTATTTTCCATTTATTGTGCGTAATTTTATATAAATTTTTATTTTTTTCCTGAGAGCCTTTAAAAATAAAAAAGTTTCGAAATATGTACATATGTACATACATACGCAGCCATATAACTTGATTTCAAGAGAAACGCCTTTCTATTAATATCGTTGAATTATTTTAATATCTATCGCAAAATTTTATTCAGACAGGACCAAAAAGTAGAAAATAAATAATATAAAAAAAACTTTTTAATATACAACGCTTTTATAAATGGACTAAAAAGTAGAAAATAATACTTCTCAGTCCCATAGAATTTGTTTTGATAACTTTTGATTTTGAAATTTTAGCAAAAGTCATTATAAACAATCTATGAAATTGAAAATGAAAAGCGTGGGGCGCATGTAATACACTTGAATTGATATGAAAAGTAATATATGAATGTATGTATGTGGGTATATGAATAACGAACGCTTAAGATCGATTTCAAAGTTTTACTTTCGCTGTAGAAATTTTAGGTCTACGTTATGTAGTTTGACTATTGTCAATTAAATCGAATGCTT